CAAAAACAGCAAAAGCAGCTTGTTTTGTTTTTTTTGTCATGAAACCCAACATATTTACATACATTCACCTCTTCAGCCTACAGCATCTTAGCTCCGCCCACTCACACTAAAGTTATAAGGAGCCCGAACTGCTTTTTGAATATAATTTAAAGGTACAGTAACGAAAACAATCTTCTTTAAGTTTTGGGTGAAACACGTAGAGTATTAAAACAGCCGGGTGTCATTTTTTTACACCATACATGATCTATGACTTCAACAGTATGTTCCACCTAGACAGGGCACATTAAATTGTCTCTCGAATCCTTTAAAGGGGAACTCCACCGACTTTTCCAAAATTCTACTTAATGAAAGGGTTGAGATGTAAACAAAGCCGTTCGGAGTGGTTTGGTTACCTGTAGAGTGAGCTCTCTGCCTCACTCTGACTCTGAGCCCGTTCCTCTGTGAGCTGCGCTCTGATACGCTGAATGAAGAGCCATTGGTGAGCTGACAGTGTCCGCTGCTGGTAGGAACGCAAACTGCAGTGCTGCGCGCGCCTAAAATCATCAAAATAATCACTGAGCATTAAGCAGAAAGCACGCTCGTGCCCTCTTTAGCCTGTTTAGCCCGTCAGTCACCCGTGCGCGAGGGAGAGAGGAGAGTTGGGGGCAGTGCCAGTGCAGGTTGGCTGACAGAGCAGCGCGTGAATGCAGTCAGCGCGTCGCGTCCTGGAACAGGAGAAGCTGCTGTTTTCAGGGTTTTGGCCTCAGAGCTGATCGCTGTAACCGGAGCTTCAGGATTAGCTGCGCTTAGAAGGATCTTCAAGGTGTTTCTCTGTTCTTAAGCAGATAAAACTTACCTGACCTGACACTGAGACGCCTCATCACACGTGCACAAACACACGCAGGCGGGTGTCTCTTTTAGACCATATAAGGTGATCTGTATGACTTTAACAACATGTTCCAACTAAACAGGGCACAAAGTTGTTTCTCGACCGCTTTAAAGGAGAACTCCACCGATTTTTCAAAAATTCTACATTATTTGTATGTAGTGATGGAAAAGTCGTTCAGAGTGGTTTGGTGTGAAATGCTCAGTTCTAGAGAAACTTACAGAGTCAGAATTTTTCACAGTGGTGCTGATAGGAACCAGACGTCCACCTTTAAAAGCTCCCTTCACAGAAAGCTATTAGATGAGATGGTTAGATGTACGCTGCCTGATGTCTGAGATATTGTTTTATGATCATTTTGGCTTAAAATGTATTTGAATCCATTTATCTGAATCCATTCATGGTGGAGGGGTACGCACAGGGTGTTGTTAAGCAAAATAGTCCCCAAAGAAAACTTCATGTCTATTTTACCATTACCAACATTACACAAAAAGTCAGTAGACGTGCAGGTTCACTGGTGGTTTTGGGTAGTAAATAAAATGGCTGTATCTGTGTTGTAGACATCCTATCACCACCACTGTGAAAGAACCTGAGTCTGTAAGTTTCTCTACAGATGAACCACCTCACACCAAACCACTCTGAATGACTCTGTTTATAGCAAAGGGACTGAATTGTTAAGAAATTTTGAAAAATTGGTGCAATTCCCCTTTAAGAAGACCACGACACGCGACAGAAGCGAACGATGCGAGGAAAAAGCGGGGCTCGCGAGTCCCCAAAGCTTAAGCGGATATTTCATTACTGCGACAAACAGCAGATGGCTCTCTTGAGTTTTTATTTCTCCGCCTGTGATTGGCTTTCTCCGCTGATATTGATCAGAATGAGAGAATAAGGGGTCGTTATCAGGGGGGCTCGATATTAACTCTGTTCTTCCGCTCTTGTCTCGCGTTCATTAGCTCGGCGTTTAACTAACGTGCCTCGCGTCAGGTGTGCGCGCGCGCTGTAAACATATTGGCGGGAAAATTGTCCTGACTCTGTGTGAGCGGTGCGGCACGTTTGTAAGGCGGCGGTGGGTTTTGTGCCGCTCTCTCAAACTGTGTGTGTGTGTGTGTGTGTGTGTGTGTGTGAAGGGCGGGTGGGGTGCTGAGAGTAATTCTCCAGTCTCTGTCAGACGAGCGGAGCTGCTGCTGCTTCACCCTAAAGCTTGCCCTCTTAAAGGGGAATTCCACCAATTTTCCAAAATTTCTGAATAATTCAGTCCTTGAGATTAAAACAGAGCCATTCAGAGTGATTTAATGTGAAGCGGTTCATTTGTAGAGAAACTTACAGATTCAGATTTCTTTACAGTGGTGCTGATAGGAACCAGCACCATGTCTACAACACAAATATAGCCATTTTATTTACTATCCAAAACCACCAGTGAATGTACATGTGTCTTCTGTGTTTCTATGTGTAAAGTTGTTGATGGCAAAATAGTGGAAAATCTGAAAAAATAGTTTTTTTGGGGGGGGACTGTTTTGCCTCACAACACCCTGCATGTACAAAAAAATATCACAAAACTAACATTAAATAGTGTCTCAGGAATCAGAGATCATTTCATATAAAAACTTTCTGAGAGGGAGCTTTTTGGACGTCTGGTTCCCATCACCACCACTATGAACAGTTCTGGTCCAATAAGCATTTCACACCAAACCACTATGAATGACTTTGTTTACATCTCAACCATTTAATTATGCAGACTTTTTATTTGAAAAATTGATGGCGTTCCCCTTCAAGTCCAGTGATCAAACACAACTGCTGCCTGGCAGAATTTCATAGGTAGCAGCACATGATGAGCTGGAGTTGATGAGCTCGAGCTCTTCTAAAAGTGATCCACATAAAGAGATTTCTTTTTTTTTTTTTGCTTCATCCATAATTGAATTGTTCAATTAGATGTTGCACATCAAAGTCTCCTGTGCTGAGCTCTTTCTCAGGGCTCATTTCCGTGCAGCTGCTGGTAGGGGTTAATTAAACACTGTGGGTGCTGAAGGGGAATGCCAGCAGTTTTTCAGAATTTCCACAGAGTGGTTTAATGTGAGAGAAACTTACAGACTCATTTCTTTATGGTGATGGTGATGGGAACCAGGGATATCAATGTCTACAACACAAATATAGCCATTGTATTTACTATCCATATGTAATGTTGATAATGCTAAACAAGTGGCAAATCTAGAAAACAAAAACAAAACAAATCAAACAAAAAAACTTTCCATACATAGATTAAAAAAGATACATTCTAGGCCAAATGCATGTCTTTAAACTTTAGTAAACAACATGTCAGTCATTCATGACCATTTCGTGTAAACTCCTCAGACGTCTGGTTCCTGTCACCAACACTGTGAACATTTCTGACTTGCTGACTTTCTCCAGAACGGAGCATTTCACATCTAACCTTTTGAATTATTTTGTTTACATCGTATTGATTGAGTTAATGCAGTCATTTTAAAAAGCGCTGGAGTTTCCCTTGAATATAACAGCGTATGTGTCAGTACAGCGCTGCGAGTGTTATTAGAGGTACCCAGTGACTGTCCTGTTTCTGAAAATGACCTAAAAGCGCGCTAGTTTTGAAAAATGAAAATGCAGCTTTAAAACAGTGAAAAGCTCGAATGAGCCGAATCGGTCTGATAAACAATAATCGTCTCTTATTGACTGTTTTGAGGGATCATGCTTCTGCTTAGATACGAACAGCTGTGCAAGTGTTGAATCTCATTATCAGCTCACAGCAAACAGCCTGCTGGAAAAAAGCAGAGCCCACTTCCTTTAAGCCCCCCCTCCCTTCTTTTTCCCTTTTCTCTCGCTCTCTCTCTCCTTTCAAACGATCGCAGAGGAGGAGTTAGTCGTTGAGACTTGTTGATGCCGGAGATGAATTGATCTGTGGGCTTGAGACGGAGAAGCTCGTGCCTTTTTACCCCAACCACCCACCCACACCCACTCAGTACCCCCCCCAACAACACCTCTAAGCGCGCGAGTTACAGATGCAAACTAGTGCTCGCGCTTAGAGGTGAAAGCGAAACGCCCTCGATCGAGCGTTTATCTTGTTTTTTTGCCTGGTTTGGACAGACAGTGAAGCAGCGTTTCGGCTCTGTTTGAGTTCATCTATGTGTTTATTAACACGAGGCGGGCGGCGTTTTCTTGCACTCCCGCTCGGTCAGTGTTGCTTACACCCCCCCAGCCCCCCCCTCTCTCCCGCCCCCCACTCTGACATGCGTGCGCTGGCGAATGCAAAGGGGAGGAAAATAATGCAGGTCGTGGCTGAAACTCCGGCCGAGTCAAATCATGAACGCTTCCGGAGGGTCGTCTGAAGAGACGCGAGGAGAGGGAGAAGTGTCTGGACACCCAGAGGAAGAGAGCGCGATCGCTCCGTTCAAACTTATCTCGGCGATCACCGCTCATCGCCATTCATCATCATCAACGCCGAGCGCCGGACGCGCTCAGGGGCGAGCGAAGGGCTTTTTCTTATGAGAGGAGCGCGCTGCCGCTGAACTTGGCGTGAAATATGTAAAAGAGAGAGGGACGTGGCAGACGTGGCGAAGCTCCACCTGAGCGAAGGTGGACGTTTTTTTCTCTTTTTCTTCGAGAAGAAGAGAAGCGCGGTGGACGTTCTGTCGCTGTCCGCGGTGCTGAAGCCTCCAGCGCGTCGCTGTCCGCGGTTCTGAAACAACAAGCGGCGAACGGAAAAAGGGAGAAAGTTCCGGATACATCAGAGACCACACACACGGACGCGGCTGAAGCCGGCGGACAGAGTGACTGAACTACCGCTGCTGTTAATCCTGTAAGGGATTTGCCGACACGCAGGTATGACAAGTCAACCGTTTCAGTTACAGGGCAGATGTTTTGGGAAGCACAGCAGGACAGCATGAATCTCTAAACCTCTCCAGCCGTTCAATTATGTCCATCCAGTGTCTTACACCATCACTTGTAATCTCTGGACGCTGTTCTTGAACACCGTCAAGTTGAGACATAGCCGACAGAGCGAGGGCAGAGCGGACGGACATAAATATGGGACAGTGACCAAGGGTGAAGGAGGTTGTCGTCTGTGCTTGGCGGCGTGCAGAGTTAAAACAGTTCGGCTCCTTTTTCTTTTTCTTTTTTTTTGTGGGGGGCTTTTGGAGACATGGCAGCCGCAATTGCCAGCGGTTTGATCCGGCAAAAGAGGCAGGCACGGGAGCAGCATTTAGACAGACCCTCCACGAACAGGAGGAGGAAAAGCCCCAACAAGAACAAAGGTCTTTGCAACGGCAACCTTGTCGACATCTTCTCCAAAGTGCGAATCTTCGGCCTCAGGAAGAGGAGGCTACGGAGACAAGGTGCGAGAAGTTCACTAGCCACCAAATGGAAAAGTGCTGTGTATATGTGTGTATGTGTGGTGTGTGTCTGTGTGTCATATATATACACATATATGTGTGTATATATATGTGTGTATACATACCTGTATCTATATATTTATATCTATCTATCTATTTATCTACATAAATATCTACCTTCCTATATATATATATATATATATATATATATATATATATATATTAGGACATATAGGTCCTAATATAACACTATAGGTGATACTTCAACACTAAAGATTTTGCTTTTTTTATGACGAAACCTTGCTTTTCTGTTTATGGTGTCATGTGTGGAAGGAAAGGGCACTCACAGGCTCATAGTTTCAGGCTGAAACAGAGAACTGGGCTGCGTCTGCTGTGTCTGAAATTTAATGTAACTGACAGTGTACAGAGAAGTTCCTCGTGATGTTTCCGACAGCATGCAGAACTGTCACAGTGTCTTGGCAGAAGCGGTTTGAAGAGTATTAAGCTCATGCGTTCAAGTGCATACTCATCAGTAGCCTGTCGACCGAAATTTACTCCCACACAACCTAAAATGTCAATATTGCGTCTGGGAGGCTCGCCTCTCCATGTAGGCCGCACGTATTCTTCTCCAGACAATGCGTGCGTTAGGCCTGTGAAAGGTTTCTGTCGCCATTCAAATGTGTAGATTTGGCCTTAAGCAACCGCTTTTACATTTTGTGTTATTCCTGTGTCCGTGTGAGTCGTTAATGATGAATCAGTGGTCTCTGGAGTGCGAGCTGAGCAGCAGGTGTGCTACTTGTTGCTGTGAAGATCTCAGAGTGAGAGTGAGCTGACAGCTTTTAGTAAAATGGCAACATTAGTGAAAATGTCAAGAAATGACGTGGCGTTTTTGCACAGTTTTTGTACGTTAGTGTCAAGTCAAGCTTTTTTGTTATTCTTCTCAAGGCAGCACATCCTGTAGGTGTAGCCTGTTTTACTGATGAGGATGAATGTGGGCAAAGTGTAGGATCACCAACCTTCAGATACAGTTTAGTATTATCAACATTTCCTTTTAGCTCACTCTAATTTCCTTTCTTTGTTGAGGCTTGTTAGGTTTCATTATTGGTTTTAATTTGACAGCCTTCCATATATAGAACAAGAAACTACTCACTAATCAGAAACACATTCACTAAACTACTACTAGTTTTTGGCATTTGGCAATTAAATGGGCAAGTAATTTCAAAATAATTGATGTCAAATTGTGAAAACGTGATTATTACAGTGCAGTGCAGTAATATTAAAGAGCTGATATGACGGATGTAAAACTGTAATGTACATGTTCAAATTTTCTTTGTTTTTTTAAATAAATGAGTTTGATGTAGTATGTAAACTTGCGTAAACTTTCCGCATATGAAAATTAAGCCTGTTCTGAATTCATTGTTTTTGTGATGTCACAAAAACCAATTCATTTACATACATCCACCTATTCTTTTTACATAAGTTTACCTCCACCCATTCGCAATGAAGTTATAGAGTCTCTGCCTAGACCGTTTTTGGAATGAAGCGACAAAAAAAAAGCACACGTTTTTGAAAAATAGGTTAAATGTATGTAAATAAATCATGCATCATACTGTAGTCTGTTTACAGAAATAGATACATTCACAAAAAACAAACGATCACCATTTTATTTCACAGGCATTTACATTTATTTTAATGGATGTTACTGTTATTATTATGGTAAAATACTGTATGTCAGAATAACTAGTTGTATTTGTTGAATTTCAGTAAAATGCAGTAGTTCTAAGAGATTAAATGACTGTAATTTTACAGATTTTTACCATTATTGAGAAAACATACTTTTACCGTTAATTAACGGGTTTTGTCTGGCACTCCTGCTGCTGGACTTTTGACCTTTTTTTTACAGTGTAAGACCACTAAACACAGAGGTCATTTACATATATCAAAGGCACAGTGATAAAAACAACCTGTTAAATTGTAAGGGATAAAGAGAGGTTGGAAAATGGTGATGTAAATATGAAGTATGACTATTTTTGGTACTGCACATTTCGTAAGTGAATTTCAGAGAAATGAAATGAATGACTTACCATAAAATAACATTAGTAACAGTAATGTGGAAAGCATGTGTGCGCATATATGTTCGCACATAGGTGCTTATTTCATTGGAATTACATGTGAGCTAGTTTTTGTCTATGTTATATAGGTTGGATAAGCATTTGCATGATTAAAAGATTAAAGGCAGTCAGGCTGGGCAATAGATGGTTAATAAAACTGTAATAGAGGCCACAGGTTAGTGTGTGGTATATCTCAGTGTCTGTCACAGATGTCTGAAGTGGAATCGCACCCAAATAAATAGTGAGTAAAGGATGCAGTTGTTGCCAGGAGATTGTGCGAGTGATGAATTATCCCTGGAACGTCTCGGCTTCCTCGCACCTGTGACGGCCATTTTATTACAGCTGGCCAGCACCTCATGGCCGCCCCATGCGCTCTGAATTTTGGCTTGCAGCATGTCGAGAAGCTGCACCATTAAGCCAAACCAAGCCCCTTTCACCTCTTAAGGAACTCAGGAGAAGCCCCCGCAAGGAACCACCACCGAAATGGCTGATTTGTCTTGGTTTTGCGGCTGACGGCAGGTCTGGCGCACAGCTGGGGAGAGAGGCTCTTCTGAGTCTTGCTGCGTCCTTTCCTACATTATTTGTGATGGAGGACCCTCTGGGAGTTACCTCATTAATTTCCCATTGCTGTGAGATTTGGAAAATCTTTAGTGAGCGTTTTTCTGAGCTCAGCCGTGAGGGCTCACTGGGGGCTGCTTAGAGGGAGCCGGTCTTTTCTCTCCTCTTCTCTCTCTCTGAGTCTCTTGCTCTGTGTGTCTCTGCCTCACATGTAGTCCGTGCACTAAGGAAGACGAATGGTTTGTTTGGTGGAGCTTAATTCAATTGCTGCCACAGGAAGGACATTTCCAGCAAATAAACCTGAGCGCGGCCACCCATCATAAGAGGCTCTAAGACGCCGCTGCCGTCTTCATTTTCGGCCTGAATGCGGCCAGGAAATGGGAGTCCCCCTGGAGTGTGGACAAAGCGTGTGGAGACGGTGGAGAGAGCTATATTGCCTTGAGCGTATACAACTCGGTCTGAATGCCAATGTCAAGATACCGAGACACAAACATGACATTACGTTTCTGCAGGAATTGTCAGGAGAAAGCATCAGGAACTTTTTGGGCCAGTTTTTCAGACCCTGATTAGACCTTAGCCTAGACTAAAAGGAAATTCCAGGGGTGATTTATCATTGGCACTGCAGTTTGGTCCAAGACTACACCCTTAAGCAGAGAGATTGTTTACAAGTTTGTTAGTTTTATATATTGTTTCTTTCATAACAAAGTCTCGCATCCAGAAAAGTAACTTTACAGGAGGAGGAAAAAACATTCTTAACTTTTAATGTAAGTTAATGTAACACAATTTAATTTTAAATAATTTTGGACCATTTCTACTGTTCTGTTCTTCATGTAATTTTGACACACTGTAAACAGCAGCTGGAATTTCCAAAATATGAAAAAAAAAATACAAAATGGAGGCACAAGGTCTCATTCTAACTGCATTTAAATTTGAGAGGAATTAAGTATTTAGCAGGTTTGTGTTTATTATACAGTATTATTTTGAATTACAGTCAGTGTATGGTATTACTTATAATTATTCATAATATTATTATGTAAGAATATATTTGATGCTATATAAAACCCCTTTAAAGGGGTTTTTAAGGAACCAGATACAACAGGTTTTCTATCGAAGGGAAGAACCATTTAATCCTGCAAAGAACTACAATGAGGGGAAACAAGAATTCAGAGTCTTTTTTTTGTTATTTAATGTACTTCCAGTGCATATTTCCACTTCAGGTTCACTTACATAATGTTAACTTTGTATGTGTAAATATGAAAAAAAGGATGTATTCATAAGCATAAACAAAGATATGTTTGATTTTGACCAGTTCCTTTTGGCAACTGTCTTCAGGGTCATTCTGATGGTGATCACAATCCTTCATAAATTTCAGTGCAATTGAAGTCAGTAGATTGTCTAGGCCTTGCAAGCACGTTCACCTTCCTTTTTAAAAACAAGTCTTGAGTAATTATGGCTGTATGTTTGGAGTTGTTGTCTGTTGAAACACCTATTTTCTCGCCTTTCTTGGCTGATGAGATTACGTTCTCCACTGTGTTCCGGTACATCACTCCATTCATGTTTCCTTTAATGACTAATGCCTCGGTCCAGTTTGCAGAAAAGCCCCATATCATGATGATTTGTGTGGGGTATATATATGAGTGGAGATGATCGCAGTGCAGCTCATTGCTAATTGTTCTCTGTCTAACTGTTGTTCCTGCTGATTTCAGGTTGTCCTGCAGCTCTTTCAAAGGGACTGCTGGCTTTCCTCTTAACTTCTTTCTCATTAGTGTGAGAGCATGTTGTGACACCTTGCGTGGTACATCTGCCTGAGGACGATCAGTTTTGGTTCCACTTGCAAAATATCAAACTAGTTGTACTGACAGGGGTGTTTAAGGTCTTTTCAAGGTCACTGTAGCTTTTTCATTTCCTTTCCATGAGAAATGTTGTCTCTGAGCACTTTAGTACACTGCTTCACCTTCTTGCTACTTGTTGCATGATATCTTCTCAACAAATGACAACATGTTTTAGAATTAATGTCACCAGGTGACATCATTTTACAACATTAATATCTAAACATTTATTTTTTTTGTGTAACCTTCACATATATGTGTTTTAATGTAGTGTCTGAATACTCGGTTTGGTTTTTTCAAAGTCAGCTTTATTATCATTTCTTCTCGTCACAGATGTGTTAAGAGAGGACTGAAATCTAGTTTCTCCAGGACACGGTGCTACACTTAGCCTAGAACAGCAACAGACAACAGAAACTGTTCAGGAGTCTGAATTTGGCCCAGTGGTGGACTGGGCGGTCTTCAATACCCTCTGCAGTGCTTTTCTGTCTGAGACGGAACAGTTTCC